CCCCCCATGACCGGTGTCTGTGGTGTAATAGTAACGCTTTAAGCAATTGCTTGCAGAAGACATGAGTTTTGATTCCTTTTTGGCAGGGATACTTTCTATGGAGTATCTCTGTCTGGATGTTGTATCTTTCTTAGCCAAGGTTGGCTCCGACTGGAAGGTAGTGTAGTCAAAGCCGTCAGCCTCAGAATGATGTGTCAGTGGGGAAGAAAAACATTTACAATTACAATATTTACATTACAAGGAAACTGCCTGATCTGTAGCCAGTACTGTTTCAAATAGCAGTGGTAGCTCAGTGCCGTTGGTAGTACTGACTCTTAATGATTGGTGTCACTAATAAACGTTTTACACTCCCAATGACACAATGATCATATTGGAGGCAGGCTACTTTGACCCACCTGAATGCAAAATGACATCCCTACTGACAGATCAAGATGCTCTATAACGAAGATCCTCATAAGGCAATCACATTCACATCTTTTGCGTGTATTGATATAGAACCTTACTGCTACACACGCCCCAGATACTGGTGCAGAAACTCTTACTGGAAGAATTTTAAAAGGAAAAGTAGTCCAAGTTGGTTGTTGGCAGGTGCTATGGTGTGGTTTGCTTCTTCCTTTCCTATCAAACATCTATTGTCTTGATCTCCCCTCTTTCTTTTTTTGTGTTTGTTACTCTCTTGTAACACTTCTAATCTTCGGCAATTATATGACCTTATTGTGTTGCAAGTGCAGTAAAACTCTAACTAAAATTAAAAACGAAAAGTAGTCCATATCAGGTTGAGTAGAGAGGAGGAAATATTACCTCTGCATACATGAAATTTTGGGGCATCTCCCTTTATTCCTATGGCTTGCAGGACACCTTGTGGAAAGATTGGGGTGCTTGTTTTTCTTGTGAAAAAGAGGAGAATTTGAGTGTAACAGTTGAAACATTTGAAATAAAAATTTGGCATTGTCATGTGAGTTTTGATATGCCCACACAAGTTAGGATCCTTCTCACTCACCTTTCTATGTCTGCCATTTCCTTACTGTTTCTCTATCTTGTTCTCTGGCCCACTGTTATTTTTTCTCTCTCGTTTCTTGTGTCTCTTTCTCACTCTCTCTCTCTCTGACAGTGGGTTTCTCCCTCTCTCCCTTTTTCTGTCTCTCTCACTTTCCTTCTCTTGTTTCCCTCTTCCTTCTTTCATGTCTGTCTGTCTGTTGGTCTGTCTGTCTGTCCATTTGTCCATCTGTCTCTCTCTCTCTGTCTCTCTGTCTCTTTCTCTCTTTCTTTCTCTCTCTCTTTCTCTCTCTCTCTCTCTCTCTCTATCTCTCTATCTCTCTCTCTCTCTCTCTCTCTCTCTCTCTCTCTCTCTCTCTCTCTCTCTCCCTCTCTCTTTCTGTTATGTTACCACGGAATGCCAGTGCATTAACCTGACTAAGAGCAAATAACAATGCATTAAAAAAAATTAAACAATCTCTTTGTAAATTTATGTGGGTTTTTAAAAGTTTTTTTCATTTATGTTTTCTTCTGTCTACATCCAGGGGTTCCTGTGTCCAACATGCATGCAAAACTTTCAGTCTGCCGAAGCGGTACAGGCACATTTTGAGACAGAACACAACGCTCAAGATGGAGGGGCGACAGAAGACCAGGGGGTAAGAGAGATATAGATAGCTTGAACTTTGTGGTATTGGAATGTGAGTAGTTAATGACATCAAGAATCTGTTAATTTTTTGGGGGGGTCTTGTCGTTTCGAATTTATGCTCTAAGAGAACTTTAAGAGATAGATGATGGGAAAGCATCAGGATGGTAATGGCTTTTTTTTAGACCTGAGTTGGATGCAGAAACTTATTTATGTTTTCAACCACAGACGTCTATGGAGAAATTTCTTATTATCAGTCCATACAATTATTAGTTGCAGACTTAGTCACAGGAATGTCTTTGTTTTCAGTTCGTACAGTGTTTCATCAATTCATCACAGAGTTACAGACTCAAAAATATTTTTGTTTTCCGTTCATACCACAGTTAACCTCAGAGATAGACACACAAATATTACATAACATTTAATTGTTGAGTTTAAAAAATCCCTTTGTTTTCAGTTCTTGGTATTTCATCGCCGAGTTAGAGACTCAGAAATATTTTGCTTTCATTCCACGGTTGACCGCCGAGGAAGACACAAAAATGTTATACAACATTTAATTGTTGACTTAATAATCTCTTTGTTTTCAGGAGGGTTTCTTGTGCCCAATGTGCAAGATGTCTTTGACCTCTCCGGAGGAGCTACAGACTCACTACGAGGCAGAACACAGCGACAATGACCAGGCGGGCGCCAAGCCCGTGGCAAGGTGAGACTATTCAAGGTTTACCCGTCAGGAGAAAGGAAGAAAAATATTTAAGCTTTTTTCGCCCCTGTGGAACTCAGTTTAGATCAGGAATGGGCAAACTGGCTTGTGGGCCCGATCTGCCCTGCGAGCAGTTTTGATGTAGCTTGCGAGTCGACCCAGTAATTAATAATGAATGTGACTCATAGTGAATTGGTGGTTATGAAAAAATCAAATAATATGTCCTTCTTGAAAATTAAATCAGTAGTTTTTGGAGGCAAAAGATCGAATATGTTTATCTCATAAAATGCCTTTGGTGACAAATGAGTTAATGTCATTTTTTATCTCACTTTTGAAAGTGTGGGTATTTCAACTGATTCCATCAAATTGTCTTCAGCAATGGCCTGCAAGACTTTTAGAATAGCTTGATCTGGCCTCGTTACTTGGACACATTTGCCTATGCCTGGTGTAGGTCACACAGTAGATGGGCTGCGTTGACCGTGCCTGTCAAAGTCATCTTTTGCTTTGTGACAGACACTATCAATGTACATTTGTAGACGTGTAGAGGTGAAAATATTTTCAGTATGTGAGTGAGGCCATACTTTCCTTTCACAATTGGTTTCTTCATTGTAAATGTTATGATGTGCACACATATTTTAAACCTTTTCAGTTGTACGCAATGTGTGTAATTCCGACTTTTACTGTAAAGAGACCTGGTGTTTTAATCTCAATCTTATCGTGCTTTATTTTTTATTTTTTATTTTGGCAGGAATGGAGAAATATCTGGGGTGGAGATACAAGAGGTAAGAGGTTATTTTTTTCTCTGTTCGATCATGAAATTTTGTCCTGCAGCAAAAATGGTGTCCTATGTGTTTGTATGCAGGTCACAATAGAAGGAAATGCACTAGAAGACGTTGAATCCTTCTGCTATCATGGAAGTATAATTGACAGAGGACGAACAGGTGCTGAAATTAAGTCTCGCATTGGAAAAGAACGGGCTGCTTTCATATCTTTGAATAGAATTTGGAAGACCAGGGATATCTCACTTCAAACAAAACTGAGGATTTACAATTCAAATGCGAAGTCAGTCCTTTTGTATTGATGTGAGACATGGTTTGTATCTCAGACTTGCATAAAGAGGATCCAGGTTTTCTTGAACAAGAGCCTAAGAAAGTTACTGGGGATCAGATGGACAGAAAGGGTCACCTATGAGGAAGTGTTAAGGAAAACTAGACAGATCCCTGTCAGGGATAAGGTAGGAAGAAGGCAATGGCAATGGATTGGACATACTCTCGGAAAATCAGGCGGCTGCACAGCAAAGAAGGTGTTAGATTGGAATCCACAGGGTAAGAGATCAAGGGGAAGTCTGTGGAACCTGGAGAAAAATCACAGAAACTGAAGTACAGAAAAGTGGAAAGACATGGAATAACATCAAGAGGCTAGCACCGGATAGAAAGATGGAAAGTGTTTGTTCGTGGCCTGTACCCTGGTTCAGGGTGGGAAAGACAATGATGATGTGTTTGTATGTCTCTTTTTCCCAAGAGTAAATGACTATCACTGTGTGCCTGTTCTTCTCATATTCAGACAAACTAAACTTACGTACTTTGTCTTTTGTACAGCTGCCTTTTATTGTGATATGTAGAAATCAAATACATTAGGCACTTTCTGAGTGAAAATGCGCTAGATAAATGTGAGTTGTTCTTCTTCTTCTTATTTATATCAGAGAGGGTTGTATCTAACTGGTGGGGAACTATCTTCAGAACAGCCATTTTGTGTGTAGTATGGCATTAAACTCATAAAAAACAAACAATTTTGTCTCAAGCCACCAGCAACCCATTTGTCTCTTTAAATGTGCACAGCTACGAAAGGAACTGGAGATGCATCAGTTACAGCTGAAAGGATCTGAAGAGGCACGAACTTTATGTGAGTCACTAGTTAGGCTTTCTACATGTTGGTCTTTCTCTCTCTCCCCCCCCTCTCTCTCTCTCTCTCTCTCTCTCCCCCATATCTCTTTATCTCTCTCTCTTCCTCTCTCTCTCTCTCTCTCTCTCTGTCTCTCTCTGTCTCTCTCTGTCTGTCTGTCTCTCTCTCTCTCTCTCTCTCTCTCTCTCTCTCTCTCTCTCTCTCTCTCTCCTTCTATCTCTCTTTCCCCCTCCCTCCCTCCCTACCTCTAAGTACCAAACCTAAAACAGACATCGCCAGTCACGGTACGCCACTCATATCTCTGCCCAGATGTTTATAAAAAAAAACCTATATTATTTTGCTCTTTTGCTCTCACCTATTTGTTCCTATTCTCTATGTACATTATTATATATAGCTTTTTTTAAATTCAACTTCCAATAACAAGTGTGATCAGCAGCCACAGTGATTATCCTTTGTCATAAGTTGTTATATTACGGATGCATAAATGTATTTGAAAGGATTGTTGTGCAATGAGTGAGCTGGTAGGTATGACACTTGGGATTGTGCAAGCTGTTGAAATGTTATTTTATTGTGAAATGCCTGGAACCATTAGGGAAAAGGTGCTATAAAAATTATGTATTTTATTATTATTGATGGTTTGCTGCTGTTTCTTTTGCCTTCTGATTTTTCTCGGAAAGCGAGATGCTTTTACTATGAAGGATAAATAAAGTTTGCTCAGTCTTATCTTATCTTTTTGCTTCCTAGTCCTTCTTCATCTTGTCACTCCTTTTCTTTTCTTCTCAATCCAATACTAGGTTATCACGGGTAGCTAGAGTGTGCTACTGGTGGGTCCTACTTCTTTTTTGTTCCCCCAGTTGTTTCGGATGGCCTGTCTTACTTTTTTGTGGTCTTTAAGCATTGTGTTCTTTTGTTTTTCTTTACTGAAACAAACATTGTCTTCTCTTACTGGTATAAGGTCAAGGGAAATGGGTGCTATGTCTTTTAAGCAAATGTTTCACGTTTAATTACTCTCCCCCCCCTTTTCTCTACCTTCCAGTGTCTTCGGAGGTTTTCCACAAAGACCAACAGCTGACAGACGCCAACATGCAGTTGGAAGTGCTCAAAGCTGAAAAGGAAAAGATGGAAGTGAAGGCGGCTCAACTGGTAAGTGGATGTTATTGTGCGTCCTGAATGGTATGTCCATTCTTGCTTTGTTTTGTTTGGGTTTTTGTTGTGTTATTTTCCCTTTTGTGTTGTGCGTGGTTATAAACAAATGAAATCCATCAATCTGATAAAACTGTGTGTTTTTGTATACCATAAACCTGGATGTGAATGAAAATAGAAAATAGAATCATATTTAACCTTGCAGATTTGTACTGTTTTGTTATTAAGAACATTCATTGTTTTTGAGGGTTCTATTGAGAATGTTATAGATTATATAATAATAATAATATATGACATTCGTATAGCGCTCTACCCCGATTAAAGTACACAGGCTCTGAACGCTTTACAATACAGTACAACATACAACAGTAACATAAAACGTGTTCTGACAAAAAGAAAATTACTCGAAATATTCATCTTATTGATTTAAAAACAGAAACGACCTCAGCTGAGATTTGAATTAATCAAAAGATTTGATCTCTCTTAAAGTACTAGGTAAAGCATTCCAGATCTTGGGGCCTTGGTATTCCAATGCCCTTTCACCCATTGTTTTAAGGTTCATAGATGGCAAAAGAAATTTCTTTTTGTCAGCTGATGACCTTAAACTGCGAGTTGGAATGTACAGTCTTAACAGATATGAAAAGTATGATGGCGCATTATCATTCAAACATTTGTGACCTAGGGTGGCCAACTTGTACAAAATTCTTTTCTCAACAGGAAGCCAATGCAATGTCCGCAAAAGAGGTTTAGCAGAGTCTCACTTTGTTTTCCGTAAAGCTAAACGTGCAGCATTGTTTTGGACAGTTTGAACTCAGCTAGTTATTTGTAAAGCAGAAAGGGTTTCATTTTGTCAGTCATAGTAATCTACTGAGTGCTCTCAGATTTTATGAGCCTTCCATTAAAAAAAACTAAAATGTTTTGAGGAATTCACTTGACAAAATATTAAGGACCCATATAAGTATCCCTTCAGATATATGAAATACTTTTGGTTTACTGAATTATTTGAGTTATCCATTAATTTGTGTGTGTGTGTGTGTGAGTGAGTGTGGTAGAGAGATAAAGAGAAAGAAAGAGAGAGAGAGAAAGAGGAGAGAGAATCGTAGAGAGAGAAAAAGAGAGGGGGGTGGGAGGGAAGAGAGAAGAGAGTTTGGGGAATTTCTGTAAAATGTTTCTTCATTTCATGTTGTCTCAGGCTGGAGAGATGGCCAGCATGAAAGCGCGGGTGGACGAGAGTGAAGGACAGAGGACAGCGCTGGAGGACCACATCAAGACACTCAAGGTAGGAGAAAGTTTGTCCGTCTTGCTTATGTTAACTGTCACCACTGTAAAGGCTGGACAATTTAAAAAAGTAATAACAAAATGAAATAAATTTCCACTTTTACTGATTCCTGAGGGGAAATTTGGTTTACAATAATGTATTATACATACTTAAATATGGTTCTTAAATTCATACTGAAACGTACAGATATGCTACAAATACGGTGCATAAATACATAGATGTTATACATACTGAAACATACAGATGTACTACTAATATGTTGCATAAATATATATTTCTTGTCTTTAGGTTCAACTGGAAGAAAAAGGGACGTATGTGAAAAACCTTGAGACTCAACTAGCTCAAAGGTAATCTTTACTGCATTATACATCTCAGTCTGAGAGAAAACGAGTGAGCAAATGTTTCAAACATTGTGAGCGGAGAATGAGCAAGCTAGTGTTTGTCATCGTGTCTTGAGCTGTGTACCACTACGTGTGATGAAATGTGTTGTAGCAAAGACTCTGCGCAAGAAAATTACGTTTGACATTTCAGGCTAAGACGTCCGGTACATCAAATTTGATTTTATTGTGTTGAAACTTCTCTACAGCTTTTTGTGGTGATTTTAAAAAAAAATTATTGGGCCTCTTACATCTTTATTTAATGGTTTATTTATTTTGTGTGACAGACTTTTTAATAGTCTCTGCAGCGTGTGCACATTAGACAGTATACCCCTCTCTGTAAATATTTGTGTGAGTGTTGTGCATGCTGCTTGATCTACTCAGTGTAATTTTTTTTTAAACCATGTACAACAGCTAATCTCATGTACTGCCCTTTTGTAAACACTTTGTTGTAGTGAACTTCTTTTTTCACACTTAACACTGCATCAAGGATGAGAGATTGAAAGCAACAAAACAATTCTATTAAAATGTCTTATGATAAGTTACCTCATTTTTGTAAACATGTAGGAACATTTTTTTCTCTCACACTTTATGCTGCATCAAGGATAGGATGAGAGATTGATAACAGCTACTGCAACAATAACAGTAGTGAAATACTTAAATGTGTGTCTTTGTCAACTTTGATCTATTTAGATTTCTCGTGATAGTTTGTTTTCATAACAACAATAATTTAGGCATGGGAAAGTGATGTTCATGAAAAAACCATAATCTTCAAAGAGACCAGTGTTAAGCAGGATATTATATCATTAATAGCAATATACTATCTCTTTCTTGGTGAAAATCTTTAACACTGATTTTTAATTTTCCTCATTGTTTTGTTCAGTGAAAAGGAGAAGGAGAAAAAGTAAGCCTGACCATAGATTTGAACCATATACTGTGTCCATTTTACCCCTTTGCTGATCCGCACCTCGTTGTAAGCATGCATAAAGGTTTGTTTTTTTGCAGTTATTGAACTGGGCAGCTGGTGAAGCGAGTTCAATGGTTTGCAGAGCTCATTCTTTATTGTGGCTTGTATTGATATTTATTCACTTGTTATGAGATGAAGTTTCGTGTTTGGTCCTTACAGATAGGGCTGAAGCCACCTGCTCTCCCAGACAGTCTGAATTGTGTCAATGGGGGTGGGGGCTGCAGACCTGCCACTCATCCCTATTTAACCGGGACATACCGATCCCCCACCCCAATCTCAAGCATCCTGATTTCGATTGCGTGTCCCGATTTTTTTGTTCTGTCTGTTGCGCCGGATTTTTCTAAAAACATACTCTATCTTCATTATATATTTATGGACCCCCCTAGAACTGAAACATTTTTAAATCAGCTTGGCAATCACCCTGGTGAATTGTCGTTGATCCCGATTTTTTTCCCCAGATCCCGATTTTTCCCCTTGAGATCCTGATTTTTAGATTTCAAAGGGTGGCAGGTCTGGGACTGGGATCAGTATCAACCTATAAACAAAACTAGCCTGTTTTAACTCCTTTATATGAAATCACAGTTTGTTTGTCAATGTCTGACAATGATCAATGCGTCTGCAGAGGAGTTCTTAAGGAGAAACAGAAGAAATAAGGATAAAGATTAGATAATTTGTGGCTACTGCTAGGGTCAATGAGACCAATTCTGGCAGAGAAGAGTGTGCCACATTTTGAGCTTTCAGAAGCTACATTTCCACTTGTGAATGTGAACATGGAGAAGAAAACCACAAGACTCCTGTTGAAAATAACCAGTGCTGTGTAATGTTTTGCCACTCAGTTATTTTTATTTTTATTTTTGGAAAGACTTTCTATATTTACCAATGTCTTTTTAGACATGGCTCAGCATGCCCTTAGAAAGATAGTAATAGTAACTTGGACATTATGTGAAATCAAAAGTTACCTGTTCACTCTGTCAGTATGTGACTTGATTTTTTGGGAGGAAGGGAAATAAAACTGCATGATTTTTAGATTTTTGTCTTTATATTTTGTACATGCGCAATTGCAATGTGAGAATATAAAGATTATGCGTGAAACATGTCTGGCTTGTATTTGTGTGATTGTGCTATTTTCAGTATATTAAATACGCTTAAGGGGGGGGGGGGAATAAAAATCAGTGAGTAGTAAATTGGGATAATTTTTTATTAGATTTAGCTCAGACTGGAAAGAATACTGTTGTATACTTTTGTGAATACAATTCTTAACTGCTTGGCGACTGACTATCTTAGTCATGTTTGGAAGATAGATATTTATATCTTGCCTTGACTTTCCTCATTACTCCCACCAGCTGAGCCTGAAGTTACACCCCTCTTCTACCCCTACTCCACGCTGATTTGTATAAAATCTTGTTAAGGAATCTTTTTCACACAAGAGGCATGTCAGGTCCTAAATCAGTGCAAAATTAGAGGAAGAATATAAATCACAATTGTTTGTGAATTGCCTCTAGCCTTATTTATTTATATCTTTGCATTGTGAGTATAACTATGTATCTTTAAATACATATGTGAGTCAGTTGTCGAGATGGTTGGAGTCAAGCTCTGTACCATGAGTACTATTGTCATTCTTCTATGGGAATTGAGTGGCAGGTATAACACTCATCATGATTTGACTTTTAGCGTGCTTGAAAAGAGAACAGGGCTTTTCTTTTTTGCTCTCTTAAGCATCCAATGAATCAACTTACTTAAATTTCTTGAAGGTCCTGTAAGTTCTGCAAACTGGATGGAATAAAAGGCAGAGTTAGACAGAGAATAAATTATATAGAGAACTTGAACAAATTGATGAGAGGTGAGACCAGGATGGTATGTTTTTTTTGAGAGCATTCAAGCAGAGAAATGGATGGTGAACCATGATCCCCAATGTCTGTTCCAGATCTGGCACTTGAAGTTGAAGAAGTGAAAGAAAAAGAAGCATCCAGTTGAGATGTGTATTGGGGAAAATTTATAATGTTCAAAAAACTTATTGGTGTTCTCTCCTTGTGAGAATATGACTCAAAGCTATTTCTATGATTTTATTTAATTTACCGAGTTACCTGCTTTTTTCCCCCTTACGATGTGGCGACTTTGTGACTGCTCTTATGATTACATCTTTTACAGAGTTTTTTTATAGACGTTTCCTCCCCTTCCCCCCCCCCCCCCCCCCTTTACCATAAGGTTGTTTTTTCCCGCTGAAGCTGTACTGTTTGGCATCTTAGAAATGAAAAGGAAAGAGATCAGGATGATAAAAATTGTGTTAGTTTCATGTATAATTCTGAAAGATATGAGTTGAGATATAATAACATAGCCACAAAAAACTATTTGCAATGTGAGTTTCTTCAGATTGGTCTGTCCCCATCTTGTTCCCCCCCCCCCCCCCCCCCCCCCTCTGCCCATGCCCAAAAGTATCTCTCGTTCGTCTCCGTTACCCTGTTTCTTGAACATCTGAACGTAGGCTGCTGCTTCTTTAGTCTCAAATATGTTTTTGAAAAAACAAAAAACGACAGACTGAGTTGTGTATTGTTTGATTTAATGTTCTCAAGAGTATTTTTTTTTTTTTGGTGTGTTTTGAAAGTATTAAAGGGAAGCTGGTGAACTAGTTTGGTAATAGATTTTTTCAGTCTGGCTTTTTTACTCACAAAATAGATGTCACCAGTCTGTGATTGCATGCTGGTTTTAAAATGAGCGGAATCAGTATGAAAAAGGGAAATAGGCGTACAGTTATATCCTTGTTGAACGGTCCTGTCAGTATTGTGATTTTGTGTTTTGCTTTTTGCTGGAAAACATTGAAGTAAGAAGTAGAGTGGGTGATTTGTGCATGATGATAAAACTGCTTTCTCTGTTTATGTTAGAGAATTTGTGTCATGTCAATACCTTAGTACTATATTATAAGTAACTGCCCTCGTACTTAACACTGACCAATGTCTTTGATTGAGAGAAGGGGATGGGGGGATGGGGTTGTTCCATATTTCCTTCTTTCTGCTGAAATGCTGTATCCCACTGTCTTGGTTAGACGTGGTTGGAGCAACCTGTCTAGTAATTACTTAGTTTGTATCTGTTCTGGTATTTTTAGGTCAATCAAAATTCACAGTTATGACACCTTTTGTTAATTTTTTGCTTTAAAAGTTGTTTTTTTCAAAGTGAGTTTTATAAGATAAGTAAGGATACCAACATAAGGCTAGCATAAGTACTAGAAAGGTTCTTTCTCAAGTTTTCTAGTTTTTGGAATAAAACTGGTTTGTGCTAAATTGAGCGTGAGGTGATTAAAGGTTCTTTGCGTATTATGCATGGTTGCGCAGTAGACATGTTAGCTTTTCCAGGTCTAGGTATTCACTGCTCTTTTTTCCATGGCATTACCATTTGTTACAGTTTTAGAGAGAAAGATATTCATGTGTTAATGATCGAAATTTGATGGGGAAAGTTGAGAAAGCTTGAGTAGAAGAGTTTGTGTGTAGTGAAGAAATAGGACCTACTAGTGGCTCCTTCCATTCTTCCCTTGAAATGGTATAATATACATCAGTAGGAAACAAAATTTTTGTGTTGTGCATTTTTTGTGCTTATATGAGGCATAATGGGTCCCATCTAAAAAAGAAAATGAGATAGATAAATTTGACCACTGTTGATAGAGATACAATCTATGATGTACACAGTGAAATGGGAGTACCCGTTTTTCTATGTATGTGCTTTAAGTACAAAGAATAAACATGTATGTGTAAGAAAAAAAATAGGGAACTGAAAATCTGTTCACTATGTGCGTGTTTGCTATATGGCTTCTGGACTTAAAAGGAATGTCCTTGAAGAAATATGGGAACATTTTTACTTTGAGGTGTGTTTCGATTTGTAAATTTCTCATGGTCACTTACTCTGTTTTTATACAAAAGCAGTTTAAAAAAATTAATGAATAACGTTACTTACTGGTGTCTGTGATGTAGCAATTAGGCTCTTTGCCATAGCAAACAAAAGACATGACTTTTTTAATTCACATATGGGGAGATTTTTTTATCAGGTTTCTCCACCAGTCTGTGAGAAGATTGTGTCCATGTGTCTGCATCCTGAATGATGTAGATTGTGTTGATGGGCGTAACACATTTATTGTTACAATGACACTCTGTGTTCTGTCGTGTGTTTTAGGCCGGCAGCTGATGATGTGTTTGTGCTGAAGCAAGAGCTGGTGTCCGTGCAGACGCTGATGGACAAGATGACACAGGAGAGAGAGAAGGAGAAGGAAGAGTTGGAGAAGGAGTACAAGGAGCTCAAGTCTCAGTTTGATCAGTATGTCCTCTTGTTGTTGGGTGATTTTGTGACATACTGTACTTGTTTGTACAGATTGGTAATAAGGAAAAGACCAAGACAATATAGATGTTTTTATTTTAAAGATCGTCTGGGCTGAGAAATGAGTCTGGGGATCTGTCCTCTCAGCCCGGTTGACCCTGGCTGGCAGTGTTTTTAAAAAAATATTTTAAAAAGTAAATTACACTTTTATTTGTCCCAGAAAGGCACTTTGGTTTACAATGGCAAACATACATGTACCTACATAAATACATGCACAAATACATACATAAATACATACATAAATACACAATATTACATAAATACAGAACAGTTTTACAACTACAACCATGCCACTGTTGGTAGGTGGTTTGCAGGTGCTCTTTCCTATCAGTCATCTATCGTCTTTATCGCTTTTCCTTCTCTTTTGTGTTTGTTATTCTCTTGTAAAACCTCTAATCTTCTGCACTTATATGACCTCATTGTGTTGCAATTGCAATAAAACTCTTGCTGAAACTAAGGAAGGCAGGGTTGAAGCAGTCTGCTTCCTGATGATCGTTATCGTGTAGATGGGGGCACGAAACAGTTGCTATTAAAAAAGAAAATTATTGAAGACTTGTTTCTTGCTCTGTCCAAAATACACGCAATGTCATTTTTGTTACTTAAAAATGTTGTCAACGTATTCAAACTATGTCATGGGGAGATGGTAGGACATTGGACAGGGTGTTCCTGAAGACCGGACACTCAGGCAAAATGTTGGGTATTTGTTCCTTGTACTACAGGCAAATTTGGCTTGAAGTTTGATCTGATATTTCACTTTTTTATTTCTTATTCTGATTTAAGTGGAACATTATCGCATATATATAAGTAGTAAAAATTTTGATTTGGTGCTTTGTTCTCTTTTGCTTTTAGTATTTCTATTGTTATTCCTGTTCTTTTCACATTATTTATTTTCATGTATACCTTTTTAGGAAGGAAACAGAGCTGAAGGAATTCAGTGTCAAGCTGCAAGAGGCTCCTAAGACAGAGCAAGTGGCCAGGTACCCTACTTTTTGTTAATAAAGAAAACGAAATTCTCCCTTCACCTGTGTCATGTCATATCAGGTAAACTTAAAAGGGTGTAAGTTTTCTTCACCGGTGTCTGTGATGTAGCATTTGGCGCTTCGTTGTTACAGGCAGTAGTTCCAAGCTCGGTTCCTGAGTGGGGAAAATCTGTATTGAGTATTTCAGTCTTTCTGCTTGGATATTGTATCCCACTCAGCCCGGTTTGGCCCTGGCAGGCAGGTAGGTAGCCAACTTCCTGAATGATCTAAATTGTGTCGATCAGGGAGATAAAAGCACCTATTCGAAGTCTTCATCTTTTTCTCCTTTTTCTTCTCCTCATCTTTCTTCTCCTACTCCACTTCTCCCCCCCCCCCCGCTCCTTGTCCTCCTTCTTCTTAATCTTCACACCTTATGCAGTTGCGAGCTCCGTAAAACCTGTACTAAAACAAACAAGATAATAGATAGCGTGCTGTATAATGTAAGATAAAAATTGAAGATTGGAAAAAGCACACTGTGTAATTCCTCTTCTGTTCTTAAAATAAAGCCCTGAGTTCTTCCTTTAAAATGGCCAAATGTATGAAATTGAGCCCTAGATTCTTAAAAAAGACAGAAAAAAAATACAAAGATACAAATCAGTGTATTGTTTTTAAAAGCAATGAAAAGATGTATTCTACATTCTCATTTCGGTTTTCAAAACTTCCTTCCTCCCCAGCCTTCAGTCAGCTCTTGATGAGAAAGAGTCCAGTGTAGAGAAACTGAAGTCTTCTTTGTCAGAAGCTGAGAAAAAACTGACTCAGGCAACGGAGGACAAGACTAAGGTATTCATGTCAGACAAAGGAAAGGATCTAGTGAAAAACAGGAGAAGTCCTTTAAAAAAAAAAAAAAGCCCAGGGTACTAGTCCTCAGCTTATATTAGTACCTGCAAAATATCCCTTTGAAATCAGTAAAGTAACCAGCTAAGTCGTTCACGCAATGTAGTTTTATGAAAGCAAACCAAGTCAAGAACAGACATGTCTATTATTAAAAAAAGGAAAATAGACTAAGATGTGGTAGGATTAATGTGACTTAACCTGTTTTTCACATGATCTCTTCAAATGTTTTCTATTAGTGTCTTCTATAATAGTCAGGCACTTTACTATTGCGTGCAGAAGACATGAGTTCTCTTCCCATGTGGGACATTTTTTTAGCAAGTATCTGCCTGTCTGCTAGGAGGCTGTATGTATTCTACTCAGCTTGACACTGACAGGAACGGTAGAAGTAATGATCTCTATTTCTCTCTATCTCTCTGTCTCTTTCATCTTCCCCCC